GGACTTGGGTCCCTCCTCGACGGCTCTCCGCTGTAGATTCCGATCAGGAGGGACCTCCTCTCTCAGGTGGGGGGCGCCATTCTTCACCCCCGCCCGGAGTTATGGAATCTGTGGGCATGGCTCCTGAGGGGGCACAGCTCCTAGCATCTGGTCTCTCAACTGATGTTGTTGAGACTATACTCCAGTCTAGAGCTCCCGACACTAGGAAACAGTACGCCTTGAAGTGGAAACTTTTCACTTCATGGTGCGGACAGCGACTGCAGGACCCAGTCAACTGCCCAATTGGTACAGTTCTGGAGTTTCTGCAGGAGCGATTCTCCGCAGGGTTATCTCCCTCCACTCTGAAGGTATACGTGGCGGCCTTAGCTGCTTACCACGCCCTTCTGGGTGGCCAATCATTGGGAAGACACCCACTTATCACTCTTTTCCTCCGTGGCACCCTGAGGCTGGTACAGTGCACTAAGGTGCCCCCATGGGACCTGGCTGTGGTTCTGGAGGGCTTATGCAATGCCCCCTTTGAACCCATAGAAGAAGTTGCGGTTAAGTTGCTCACGCTCAAGACCATCTTTCTCCTCGCTATTTCCTCACCAAAAAGGATCGGGGATCTTCAGGCACTTTCTGTTTCGTGCCTGGAATTTGCGACCAGGAGTATGGCGGCCTCCAATGCTTTCAACTTGGGTGTGGCCTTGCAGGACATTTTTACTGCGGCGGGCTGGTCCTCTCTGCACACTTTTGTCCGTTTTTACAACCTAGACCTGGCATGTACCCCAGGTTCCCAAGTTCTCTCTTTGTGATGTGCTCGCAAGATACACACAGGCAGGGACTTGGTAGTATGGCGCAGTGGGTATTCTCGTTCCCAAAGCGACTTCGACGCAGCTCGAGTTCCTGAAGGGGAACGTCTCTAGGTTACGTATGTAACCATGGTTCCCCGAGGGAACGAGATGCTGCGTCTCTTTGCCATACTCCCTGCATCCCTCCAGGCGCTACTTCATTGAAGCTGGTTTGCGCTCTGCCGGATGCGCTTTTATACTTTCTGGTGCTTATGTCACCCCGCTCGTGACATCTCGCTACTCCATTGGACTGATTTGACATGTGCTTCAGAACGCGGTTACGCAGGGGCGTTCCCAAAGCGACTTCGACGCAGCGTCTCGTTCCCTCTGGGAACCATGGTTACATACGTAACCTAGAGACGTTTGTTCATATTAAGAGATTTATTTTATTTGTGGAACTTACTTGTTTGATTTGGGGGTTTGTTTTAAAATTTCAGTTTAGTTTTGTTATATTTCAGTTTCACAAAGGAATTGTATTCCTCTATTACATAAGAGTTCATGAACTGGCTCAGATATATTTAGTCACTCACCTGGACTGTCCACCCTCTTGTAGTGGTAGGGATTGATGCACACATCTTTCTGCTTAGATCCAAAGGGGAACTCACAGCACTCCAGGGCATTGAGCTCATGGTGTGACTGTAGGTCAGGCCAACGCCATACGCGGCAGTAGATGACGTGAGGCAGCCCTTTCCGGTGTGACACCTGG